ACTTTACAACTATTTATTTTTTTTAATTAAAATGGTCAAAGAAAGAAGGCAATTATTTAAAGTTCGTTAACACTGATGGTATTTTGAATTAAAAGCAAAATTAAGTACCATTTTTATTGGCTTCAAAGAAAATGTACCTGGCTTAATTCATTATAAAATATTATGTGGATTTTAGATGTAAGAAAAAACAAATTAATTCATTTTGTATTTAAAACAAAAGACATAATTCGTTCATTTTGGATTTTTCGCAGTTTCATAGTGAAATTTCCATTGTTACATTGTAATACTGTCAATTCTTATTATAATATTTTTCATATTCTTATAGTATTATTCATAATCAAATAAGTAATACTTTAGTTAAATCTATGTATTATTTTTTATTTTTAATTATTATCATTAATTAAATTTCATTTCTAATCTTTCTTTTCTGATTTCTAATCTAAATTTCATTTCTAATCTTTCTTTTCTGGTTTTTAATATAATTTTCATTTCTAAATTTCATTCATTATCACCATTTATAATCCTTTCATCTGCTACTGCAAATTATTTAATTTCTAATTCTTTCTGTAATTTTTAATGCCCTATATGTAAGGAAAAACATTTAATATGTGTGCTGATTACATTCACTAATTTCACTGTTAGTTCATATCCAGCGATAGTTGTTATTATACAACAAAAAAATAATTAAAAATTTTACATTAAAAGTATATTTTTTAAAGATTCATGGTTCTATTTGTATTTGAAAATTTTGTTGAAAAAAAAATTCTCATTTTTTTACAGAATAATAGGGGGAAAACCACTGAGTACCAGATTTACGACAAATAGGACTTAAGAAACATCTGTTTAAAGAATTGACAAAATTGATGCAGCATTTTGTAAAATAAAAAATCAAATGTAAAAGTTCGTAAAGTGCAATGATGACTTAGAACGATATGATAACATGATGGTTTGTGATTATTCAAATTTGCAAGATAAAAGTTGTAATGAAAAAGTATTGGAACATCTAAGTGATTTCTTTTATTTCAAATTTTATCCATAATAATATTTTAAAATGTATTATATTTAAATTATCTATTTATGATATTTCAAATATAATACATTTAGCAAGGTGTAACGGTCAAAGGGCTATTATTTTTCAGCCTGCAATAGCGCAACTAAATGACCAATCAACTAGGATCTTTGCACAACTCTGCACATTTCTCTCTAAAAATCTTTGTTGTGGTCCAAAACATCGATTAGAGCTGAACTGCATGCCCTTTAACATATCTACCAAGTGCGATTCGTACTACATCATTCCTATACTACAAGTAAAAAGGAATATCGCATCGGAAATTCAGCAGAATGAGTTGTGTTTACAACTAGAACTGTTTTGATCCATGACAAAGCAAAACAGCATACTGCTTGGGAACCAAACAACTTCTTGCACAATTACAATGGGAATTGTTCAATCGTCGGCATACACCAAGACTTAGTATAGTGTTTCGGCGACTAAGAGGGTACTAGAAAACTCATTTACAGTTATGACAAATGTCATTATGGCAACTATTTCACATTCAAATATCATACATTAGAAAACTGGGTGAAAATCATTAAGTTATTTTGACTATTGATGAGAGACTGTGACACATGCCATTAATTTTACTCATTTCTCGAACTGGCTTTACTTACACTCTTTTAGACAAATGAGTTTTCTCACTGGGCCAAAAATGGGTCGCCAATTTCAGCTTATGAATTAAGTTTTAAATGTAATCTGAGTACTAATAGCATTTTTGAAACAGGACCACTTATTAAAAAAATTTTATTATTACACATTGATAAAAGCGTACATACACTGAAGTGACAAAAGTCATGGGATACCTCTTAATATCGTGTAGGCCCTCCTTTCTCCCGGCGAAGTGCAGCAATTCGACGTGGCATGGACTCAACAAGTCGTTGGAAGTCTTCTGCAGGAATATTGAGCCATGCTGTCACGATAGACCTCCATAATTGTGAAAGCGTTGATGGTGCAGGATTTTGGGCACGAACAGACCTCTCGATGATGTCCCATAAATGCTCGATGGGATTCATGTCGGGCGATCTAGGTGGCCAGATCATTCGTTGGAATTGTCCAGAATGTTCTTCAAACCAATCACGAACAGTTGTGGCCCGGTGACATGGCGCATTGTCATCCATAAAAATCCCATCGTTGTTTGGGTACATGAAGTCCATGAATGGCTGCAAGTGATCTCCAAGTAGCTGAACATAAGCATTTCCTGTCAAAGTTCGGTCCAGTCGCACCAGAGGACCAACTCCATGCCATGAAAAAACAGCCCACACCATTACGGAGCCATCACCAGCTTGAACAGTGCCTTGCTGACAGTTTGGGTCCATGGCTTCGTGGGGTCTGCGCCACACTCGAACCCTACCATCAGCTCTTACCAACTGAAATCGTGACTCATCGGACCAGGCCACGGTTTTCCATTCATCTAGGGACCAACCGATATGCTCACGTGCCCACGAGAGTCGCTGCAAGCGATGTCGTTCTGTCAGTAAAGGCACTCGAGTCGGTCTTCTGCTGGAATAGCCCAAGAAAGCCAAATTTCTCCGCACAGTTCTAACAGAGAAGTCCCTTGTACGTCCCACATTGATTTCTGCGGTTATTTGACGCAGTGTTGCTTGTCTGTTAGAATTTACGACTCTTTGCAGACGTCGCCGGTCTCGGTCGTTAAGTGCAGGCGGTCAACCACTGCGCTGTCCATGGTGGGATGTTATGCCTGAAATTTCATACTCTCGGCACACTCTTGACACAGTGGATCTGGGAATGTTGAATTCCCTAACGATTTCCGAAATGGCATGACCCATGCGTCTAGCTCCAACTAACATTCCACGTTCAAAGTCTGTTGATTCCCGTCGTGCGGTCATCATCACGTCAAAACCTCTTCACATGAATAACTTGAACAGAAATGAAAGCTCTGCGAAAGCACTGCGCATTTATACCTGTTCTACGCGATGCTACTGCCATCTGAAAATTTGCATATTGCTATCCCATGACTTTTGTCACTTCAGTGTATACTCAAATTTATGAAATCAGTAGGTCTTAATTACTATCCAATTAAATAAAAAATGGTTAATGTTATTCTATAGTAAGTATGCAGTAAAGGAAAGATAAATAACATTATACCTTTCTTAGAAGTATTCTATGACATGAAAGCCAAGAATAAAAACGAAACGAGGGTTCATTTCTCTACATATTATTAACTTTAAATATAAGTGGAATTAAAATTAAGTTTTATGATATGATATATGAACTGGCTATTGCCAGTTCAGTTGTAGATTTAATTTTGAAATTGACGAAAGGATGACACATGAAATTGATGATACATGATAAGTGTCTGAAACATTGAAGAATGAGAACATTTATTAAAGTGAGGGGATCAACTTGGTAGATAGCGCATTGGATTTCCATAAAACTCTACTAGTAATACTAGTAGAGTTACTACTAGTAATATTATACTAGTAAAGCCAAACAGATAGCTCACGTAACCGTGCCAGTGTTGGATATGATAAATCAGATGGGAACAAGTATTTAAGTTGGGCTGGGAATAGAGGGGGAAAAAGAGTGAACACTCTAGAAGCTATTCTTGATGGTATTAGTTCAACTGTTTAGTGTTAAAATGTGAGCATTGAGCAATTATTAGATTAGTTAAGCAATTTAGTTAGATTGGTAAAGCAAGACTCATCTAGTGCTTGATACTTGAGTAAAGCTACATGTCAGTTATCTATAGGTGATTGGTTTTACTTAAAATTGTAAACTGGTGTTAAAAATTGTAATTGGTGATTGGTTTTACAAAAATCCAAAAACCACACTATTGAAATTATTATAATTTTATTTCTACTTTATTGTGTGTTCTTTAGCAAAACACAATAATAATATATTTTCAAGAAATTCATGCGTGTAAAAAAATAATTCGATGTTTACGTTTTGTACGTCAGTATATGAGTGTACAGCGGTCAAGTTATATGTTGTTCTGTTCGTTTCATCACATATAAAAAAATATATCAAAACTTTTGTTAGATAATGAATACTATTCATTCCCAGCAACTATTTTTCGGAAATGGAAATGTATCCGAATATAGCACGAAATCAGATTAATTTTATAAATAGCTGCTTGGAGCAAAGAGCAGAATTTGATGGCAGAATACACTAAATGTCCTTGAATATTGTACTTTTATGATAGCATAGCATAAAAACAGTAGTTTTGATAATAAAAATAACTAACCATGTTTTTCGTAGCACACAAGCGCAAACAAACAATTTATAGGAAATGGTAACTTATTTCTTCATCTACATAGTGAGAACACAGACTTCTGAAGCCAAGGAAAGCATACTTGTATACTTAAATTAATTTTCGCCCGCAAACCACATTAAAAAAAATTCAAAGGTTTTCAATTAAATATTCGTTTTGCTTATATAAGAATATAATGAGAAATAAATTATATAATACATTAAAAATAAAATTTGTCTTGCGCGATATTAAAAATGATTTAATAAGTGACTTGGTATTGGATTTGATTGGATTTTGTATAAATGATTTAATGATTTTGACATTTGCCAATGACTTAGTCTTAATAGATGATATAATTGACATTCTTAAGGAATAAAATGGAAAGATATTTTTTTTCTATCAAGATTCACACTATTCAATGAAAAATAAATTTTTACGTATTCCCAAAATGTTGTTGTTGTTTCTTATCCCACTTGGCTGGCCAAGCCCACAAGCCCATATGGACTCATGATTGAAGGGGAAGGAAGCAGCTTCTGTTGTGATGGAGCACCCATAGGTAGAAGCCTGACTTTTGCTCCGTGACGCTCTTACAGTCATAGAAGACCGGGACCTACGGCTTAAAGTGGATTCCGAACCACTACAAACATCCATGGCACCGCCGGGATTCGAACCCGAAACCTGTGGCACCGAGCGCCAGAGCGCTAGACACTCGGCCATTCAGGTCCCAAATTTGCCAACGGCACGCAGTGTTCCCAGGTGGTCACCCACCAAAGTACTGACCACGCCCAATGATGCTTAACTTCGGTGATCGTTCCCAAAATAATTTCCCCAAATACTCCTAAATTAAATTTTCGGTACATAAACAAAGTTTCTACTTGATCTCCTTTTATCTTTGCTTCAAAGCGCGAATTTGTTTAAAAGTTTGAGACATAAATTGCTTAAATTTAAGTGGAAGGCGCTGTGCCAACGATAAATCCTTTGGAAGACAGTGACAATTTAATGGAGCTTTTCTTCTTTATCCTTCATGTGAATGCAATTTTGCAGAAGTACTTTGTAAATATGGTTAAACACTTAAAAATACATCTTTGAAATCGTTGTTAAACCTTTAATATATAACAGAAACCGTTTTAGTAATAGAGAAAAATATTAATAGAAAAAAACTGTATTTTACTATACAATGAATATTATAAAAAATAATTGTAATTATGCATACCAAGAAAATAAAAAATGTATACACGAGTTTCAAAATTATGATTTTACTACTATTCATCTATTTATTTATTATTTTTTATTTTTCCTCAATTTATTTATTATTTTTTATTTTTCCTCTATTTATTTATTATTTTTTATTTTTCCTCTATTTATTTATTATTTTTTATTTTTCCTCTATTTATTTATTATTTTTATTTTTCCTCTATTTATTTATTATTTTTTATTTTTCCTCTATTTATTTATTATTATTTTTTTCCTCTATTTATTTATTATTTTTTATTTTTCCTCTATTTATTTATTTTTTATTTATTTATTTATTTTTAATTTATTTATTTTTTATTTTTATTTTTTATTTATTTATTTATTTTTCATTTATTTATTTATTATTTTCCATATATTTATTTATTTATTTTTTATTTTTCATTTATTTATTTTTTCATTCATTTTTCATTTATTATTTATTTTTCATTTATTTTTTTATTTATTCTTTTATTTTTCATTTATTTTTCATTTATTTTTTTATTTATTCTTTTATTTATTATTTATTTTATTATTATTATTTATTATTATTTTTATTTTTTAGCCGTAAAGCAGTAGAATACACTGAAAAAAATATATTTAACGTTATTGTCGGTTTTCTAAGAAACTTACACTTCTGCTTTTGTAAAAAATAGAGCTAATAAAGTTTCTTTCTGATAAATAATACAAAGGGGAAAAAAAAAATGTTATGGTTTCTTTTTTTATTACCTAGTAAAAAGAAACATACTTTCCGTTAAACTTTACCAACAAAACACTTTCTTAGAAAAGGAAGTTTTCTCATCTAAACTTTTTCAAAAAGTTTAGAATTTTCAGAAAATCCATTCTACAAAAAAGGGTTGTAAACAAAATATGTCATCTAAATATTTTCTTCTAAAAGTTACAATGTAAAAAAAAAGAGCTTAAACATTTTATCTATTTATTTTACAAAGCAGAAAAAAAAATCGTTTTAGCTTACATTATGTTAAAGTACTTAGGATCAAATTAATGTGTGAAAAAAGTAATTAAGTAATATTTGGCAATAAAAAAAAATTTATTTACAAAAAAAAGGCAATTATTTTTATTGAAGACAATATCTAATTAAATTATTATTGCTGTTGTTGTATTATATAATGTAATGACCTTGGAAACATATTTAATATAAAAAATATTGGCTACAATAAAAAATATTTTTTTAGATTCTGTTTTTGTGTTGTAAATAATTTTTGGAAAAGATTAAAAAGATTTTTTGAAAATATGGTAAATACTGATTGTTCGTAATATTTTAACAATTAAATTTTATTGCATGAATTGAATAAATATTATCGTAGATTTTTTTTGTATGTATAAGTTACAACACATATTAGGAAATAAACACTTTTCTCTATGAGATAAAACATTACCTGCTTCTATAAAGTTTTAGGCTTATAGAAGCAGGTGTTATTAAACTCTATGCCAATAGGCTAATATTTTTTTTAACTGTGATTTTTTCCGGTTACTATTGGATACGATAAAATTTAAAATAATGTGCATATCATCTTGTTTTATGGTGCTATTCTCGAAGCATGCACCTTGAGATATTTCAAAGATGTGCCTATATATAAGAATAAATATAGTTACTTTTTTTCCTGTCAGTTTTCCAGTTCGGAAATAGCTTTTAATAAAAAGAATCAATTTTTCTGCTTGCTTTTTGTTTCTTTTATTCACATAAAAAGTGCCAAACTGAGATAATGCACCAAAGAGTTTTTCCAAGAAACTAGGAGCAATAACACCCATGGTTGATTACTAGAAGCGTTTGAGTCTATGTGACTTTCAATGTTAAAAAATTTCCATTGCAGACTATGGATTTTTACTCTACGGTCATTTTTTGCACCTTTGTACTAATTAGACCGGGATCTACAATTTAATGTCGATTCCAAACCATGCAACAGCTAGGACTTAACCCAGGAACCGAAGGACAGATCGCTAGCTAATTGGCATTCAGGCCGCATTGCAGACTATGAGATTCCGCCGTCTTAAAGTAGTATTCTATGGAATTAATCATCTAATATTAGCTGAAGAAGATCAACAGGTATACAAATTGATAGTGGATTGAGGATTAAATATTAAGAATTGTCTCTTGAAACTTTTTGAATTTCTGTAAAAAAAAATGTCAATATCTATAAAAGCTTTGAAAATTTTACTACGATTTTCAACGTCATATTTATGTGTCACAATTAAGATTAATTAAGATTTTATACCCTCAACATAATGAAGGGTAAAAAGGCAAAATCCTCAATGACTTCAAATCTTCAAGAGGAAATGAGACTTTGCCTTTTAAATAAATAGCCAAACATTTAAGACATTGCTAAAACACATTAAGCTCATGTTTCTCATAAACACAAGAATAAATAAACTTTATTTGCGTTTCATTTAATTTTTCCCAATATTATTTTTTTCTTTAACATTTGTCTTAATTACTATAACATGTTTTTCAGAAATTCGTATATAGTGCGCCTACAATAATGTGTAAGATAAAAAAGCTCCCAGACTCCAAAAAGTTCGAGAACCACCCTGAAACAACTTCAGGATGTTTAAAATGGCCTTGAACTACTGGAAAGGGTCATATTTCTCGTCAATGTCACAAGAACTGTTTTCATTAGCACGCTTTGGCAAGCTTTGTTGGAAACAATCCGAATTAGACGGTTTTACTTAGCGCTCTCTGTTTTTTCCCAACGCAGGTTAGAATACATGCATCGTTTAACTTGAACTTTCTCCAGTAAACTTAGTAGCAGATTTAATTCTCTGGTTTTACTCAATGTGTATCATTCCGTATAATTAGCATTTTATTTCGAAACTACTTAATGGCTATGTAATAGAATCATTTTGTTCACGTGGAAAAAAAAAATGGAATTTGTTTTTTTTTAAAGATTTTTTTTGTTACAATAAGGCGTTAATTATATTTCACATTATGAAAATGATTTCTATATTTTAAAATAAACGGTATTTATTTTGATGAAATAGCAGATCACTGAATTGCAAAGTAAAACACTAACAATAAAAATAAAACTTATTATATAATGATTAGAATATAGTTCTAATTACATTAAAATTACTAATTACATTAAAAAATAACCTGGTAACACTTTATAGTGGATAAAAGATCTGCAACTTGGCCTTATTGTTAGATTAATGAACTCTGTTTCAGCATGTTTTGTTGTATTTGTTGTTGTTGTATGTTGTATGTTTTTTTTTTTTTTTTTTTTCGTTGTTCTTTTTTTGCTGTAACTGTTCATAATCTGCCATTGGAAATTAAAAAAAACATTAAAATTTGGTTATTGGTCGTCTATAAAGATTTCATAGGAATATTAAACTAAAAAATTAAAAAATTGATAGTTGATGTTGAAGCATTGGATTGATTGTTGATGTTGAAACAGTGAATTGATTGTTGATGTTGAAACAGTGAATTGATTGTTGATGTTGAAACAGTGAATTGATTGTTGATGTTGAAACAGTGAATTGATTGTTGATGTTGAAACCGTGAATTGATTGTTGATGTTGAAACAGTGAATTGATTGTTGATGTTGAAACCGTGAATTGATTGTTGATGTTGAAACAGTGAATTGATTGTTGATGTTGAAACAGTGAATTGATTGTTGATGTTGAAACAGTGAATTGATTGTTGATGTTGAAACAGTGAATTGGTTGTTGATGTTCAAACTGTGAATTGGTTGTTGATGTTGAAACAGTGAATTGGTTGTTGATGTTGAAACAATAAACTGATTATTGATATTAAAAACTTTTTTATGTGTCAGATACGAATTATCAATTGAAATTGATGTTTCGTATTTTAAACATAAGCAAGATTTTATTTATATCTATCATATTGTTTTGATAAGCAATTGTTATTATTAATTTATGGTTATATCATGAATTAAATAATCATATTTATTATATAAAAAGACATCGATATTTTTAATATTATTTATTTACAATAATTGCATATTTAAATTATTATTTATTGTTATATATATATATATTTTTTTTTGTCTATTATTTATTATTATTTAAACAAAACTATATACTTAAAGTAAATGTTTCCTATTGATGGTTAATAGCTAATGAATTAAATAGTAATTAAAAGAATATTTAAAAATAATTAAAATTTAAAGTGTTAGTGCACTTTTATATTAAACTATAAATCAAATATGGAAAAAAAATGTAAAGTTCTTCCAGTGCTAACCATTTCTAATTCTTAAAATAATATTTTATCAATTAATATTTTATATTTCAAATAATTTCTTCACCATAAATAAAACTTTTTAATATATTATCTAAACCCATTTAATTTTTCGTATTTTTATTTTAAATATTCGATATGTCCCTCGAATAGACTGTGAAATATAAAAAAAAAAAATTTCTTTAACAGTACTGAAGTAACGAAATCGCTTTCAACAAAACCTTTTTTTACTACAATATTTTCTATTTATTTTTAAAACTTACAATTAATTTATGGAGTCGAGGGGGAAAAAAGGGAAAAAACAGCCCCTCGCCATTTTTTTATTCCATTTTCTTTTTCCTAGATTCCTTTCAAATTCTCAATCA